CTAATTCCATTTATATATCTAGGCTAAGAAAATAATCCAAAATAGAAAGTTGTTTATGTACAAAATTTTCATTAAAATATTATTTATAATAGTTAAAAATTAGAAACAGCCAAAATTTTCAATAACAGGGAAAAGGTTAAACAAATTATGGTAGATCCATAAGATGGACTACCTTGAAGTCATTAAAAATTATATTTTCTACGAATGTTTACTGGTAAAGTGTAATGATTCACAATGTAATGTTAAATAAAGCAGAATATAAAACTACGTATATTTTTATCCAGTTCTTAAATAGACCTATATATTTATATAAAATTAAGCACAAAAGAAATTGGAAATATTATCCTAAAAGTATTCACCATGATTATTTCCAGGTGGTAGGATTTAAGTGATTTTTATGTTCCTAATATATTTTTATATAATTTCTAAATTTTATGTAATAAGTAGGCATTAATTTTTTATCCAGAAGAGGAAAGATGTTATTTTTAGAAAGCCCTTTGATTGAGTTAATGCACAAAAATCATTAAGAATTTTTTTTAAAACTTGGATAATTCTACTCTACATATGAATGATAGCTGCAAATAAATCACAATTGTATGACAGTCCTTAATTAGGTGGAAATAGTAGTACTTAAAAAAACTTTCTTGGGTGAAGTTTTAAAGCTTTGGATTCATAAATCCCAAGCTAAGTACTGGAGCTGTCAGGCCCTTCATCAGTCACCGCATATCCAGGCCAATTTTTCGATGACATTTTGAAATGTTATTTCACCAACTTCACAACTAGAAATGATCAAGATGATAAAGAATTGAATTTTGCAAACTCTTCAGGTCAGAATTTATTTTTTCAGAGACTTATTTAAGTTTCTATCCTCTAGAACAACACAGGCCAGCCCATTCACAGAACCCCAGGCCAAAAAAAAAGCAAGCTGGTAATGGCCTGTGACGAGATGGAACGGTTTCCATAATGTGTAGTGTAACTCCCAAGTCACAGCCAGCCATGGGAGAGGGAGAGAAGGGCAGAGGAACAGGATGGGTGAACTGCCATGAAGGATGAAGCAGCTCAAGGCCGGGCCCTGGCCCAGGGATACACTGTTCTTGTTTATATTTGTTTCAAAGGTTGAGGCAGAGCATAGTGCTGGAAAGAACACAGGCTCCGGAGTCAGACCAGAGTCCAAGCCCTGTCTCTGTATACCCGGATGTTGTATAACTACTTTAGGTAATTACTTTACCTCTTGAGAGTTCAGTCTGTCTGTGATATAGTGAGGAGGAATCTTACAACAGCCCTGTGAAAACTCTCCAGTTTCTTTAATATTGGCAATCAGTTTTTGTTTTTAATGTCAAAACCCTGGGCGGGGGGCGGTGGGCAGCAGACAGGACTACGGGAGTTGCCGGGTTTTGTTAGGGGTAAGAATGTGGCCGGGCAGTCGGTCACTGGTGTGCCTCCTGCCCCTCCACTGTGTGAGCTGGGGCAAGGGACGTGGCTTTCCTATGCTATGCCGTCTGCCTCTGCAGAATGAGGACAATAAGACTGCTGACCTCATGAGAGTTTGGGAAGATTAAATGAGATGGTCCATGTGTTTAGCACACGGCCAAACACTCAGCCACCACAGCTGCTGTTGTTGTTGTTGTTGTTGAAAGTTTGCACAGGGAGAAGTTGATGAAGGCCTCACAGAGAAGAAAATATTGAGGAATACCTCAAAGGACCAGGAAGAGCTTGTCAAGTAAATATTCATGCGTTTAACACACATTGTGAGTGCCCACTATGTTCCCGTCACTGTGTACTTCTGGGGACTTAGTGTTAAATAAAATAGAGTCTCTGCTCTCATGCAGTTTCAATTGTGGGAAGATGAACTTTAACACATTGACTGCCACACTAGAAAAAATGTTTTCCTTGGGGTCATGGTGTTTTATTACAAAAATAGAATACAAACTTCAAAAACAAGTGATCCTTTCTAATTTAATGAAAAATTTGTTATTTTTTATTGTTTTCTTTGAGTTATATACAATTAAATTGTCAATATTAATTGTAACAATAAGAACATCAACAAGTAAGATTTTCACAAACCAACTGCAGGTTTTGCGCAGGGGGCCACACATGACAAAGCATGTACATACAGCATGGCAGCCCCAGTTGCCTGCACACCACGTGGCTCCCAAAGTATAGAGACATGTGAATTACATATGCTTCACAAGGCCCAGGGCTCAAAACTAGCATGAGTTAAATACAACTCACATGGCAGTTAATATGGTAAATAACATGTCTACTGGCTATGAAGAAGCATAAATGAAGTGAAAAACCCCAATGTCCATTAACAGTGATGTGACTCAATCAGATATAAGCTATTCACGGAATGAAAAACTATGCAGGAGAGAACAGGAAATAATACGAGCTACATACACTGCATGAATGACTCTCACAAGCAAAGTGCTGAGTGGAGGAAGCATGTACACAGGAATATGACCACAGGCACACAAAGGTGAAAAGAGGCAAAGCTAGTCCTTAGTGTTCAGGCACCCACATTCACAGGTGCAAAACTCAAGAAAGTCATTGTGAAGCAATAGCACAATTGTTAGGATAATAATGGGGGGGTGACCATCAGAGAGGGGTGAGCAGAGGGCTTCTGGGTGCTGGTAATGATCTATATTCTCACCTGGGTTGGTATAAATTAGACTGTTGCTAAAACGTCTATAGATGTTTCATGCATTTGTCTGCATGCATGTTTCACAAATTTTAAAATGTAGAAAAAGAAAAAAGCAGAAGTAAACAGAGAATGAAAGTCCATGGGTCAAATAATTTCAGAAAGAAGGAATTGTTCATGCAAGGGCAAGGAGCTGTAAAGACACACGCCATTTGCTGAGAATCAAAAGATTTACACCTAATGGGTACAATGCAAGCTACTTTGGTGACGAGCACACAACTTGGATGAGTCAAAGTTGCTGCACAAAAGCAAAATATGTAATCAAAATTGTAAGGCTGGTGGCGGGGGCCCCCCTCCCTCCCTAGATCAAAAAAGAAAAGGCTCATGAGACCAGACCTGCCAAGGACAAACTGCCATGCCCCGCTGAGAGGAACCACACCCAGATGTCCACCCGGATAAGAATGTTTCAGCTCCTGGGTTCCGCAAATACCGCCAGCCCCTCCTATTTCTCAATTACCACCCCTGGCTCTTCCCACCAAAAGTCCCTAGCCCAGGCCAAACAGTATAAAAGGCCTCACCCCCTTCAAACAGATGTGACTTCTGCCCCCCCCCACTCTTGGGACCCCAGAACCTCATCCGGGAGTGCTAAATAAAGCCACGTTGTTTGGCCCCACTCTTTCTCTCTGTTTCTTTCTCCGAGGAAAACCTTACAAAAATGTACATGTGTATCTCCATAATATTGTGAAAAAAAAAAGTTATCTTTCCTGTCCTCCCTAAAAGATACTCAGTACAGCCAGAGTATAAATTATAAGCAGAGGTGGAGACAGGTGGGAAGGGGAAAGAGGCAGGCAGGGGCCAGTTCAGAACAAACTGCGTGACATCACATGTGGAGGGATACCAAAGAATATTTTAGACAGCACATCAGAAATCTCCCACCTGCGCTGTGGAGGGTGGATTGCGGCAAGATGGGATCAGGCAGAGAGGCCCGGAAGGAGACATGACGTGGGTCTTGGCAGACCGCGAGCCAGGCATGCCTGCGAGATCCCTGGGAAGATGAAATTTTCTGAGAGAACAGACCAATGTGTGCGACGAGAGAACAGGCAATTGTACTGCATGACTGTGATGGGCAATGTCCTGTGCCAACCTGACTGGGCTATGGGATGCCCAGACAGCTCACAGAACATTATTTCTGGATGTGTCTGGGGGGTGTTTCTGGAAGGATCTAACATCTGGGTGCCTGGACTGAGTAAGGAAGACACCCTCACCAAGCGGGTGGGCACCCTCACTCTGCGGAGGGCTTGACAGAACAAAAGGCGCGGGAAGAGTGAACACGCTCTCTGTCTGAGCCGGGACATCCGCCTTCGCCTGCCCTTGGACTCTGATCTCCGGGCCTGGCCCCGGGCTGGGACTCAGGGCGCTGGAAAGCAGGGTGGTTCGGGCTGGACCAGAGCCCGCGCTCCTGGGCCCCGCCTGCAGGCAGGCCACGGACTGCGGCCCGCGCTCGCCAGCCAAGCCCGCGGACGCACCCGCCCTGCACACCTGCCTGCCTCCCGCGGGGGCTGGTTCTCGGGGACCCTGCACACCTGCCTGCCTTCCGCGGGGGCTGGTTCTCGGGACCCTGCACACCTGCCTGCCTTCCGCGGGGGCTGGTTCTCGGGGACCCTGCACACCAGCCTGCCTCCCGCGGGGGCTGGTTCTCGGGACCCTGCACACCTGCCTGCCTTCCGCGGGGGCTGTTTCTCGGGGACCCTGCACACCTGCCTGCCTTCCGCGGGGGCTGTTTCTCGGGGACCCTGCACACCTGCCTGCCTTCCGCGGGGGCTGTTTCTCGGGGACCCTGCACACCTGCCTGCCTTCCGCGGGGGCTGTTTCTCGGGGACCCTGCACACCTGCCTGCCTTCCGCGGGGGCTGTTTCTCGGGGACCCTGCACACCTGCCTGCCTCCCGCGGGGGCTGCTTCTCGGGACTCTGAGCGGTGCGGTCTCAAAGCGCCGCAGAGCCTGCGGCCGGGACATCGGGCGGCGCGCGCTCCACGGAGGGGCTGCCAGCGCACCGAGCCCCCAGTCCGCCGGCTACGGCGTCGCCGAGGAAGGCAGAGGCTCAAGGCGGGAAGGGAGCGGAAGTGCGCGGGGCGCGGGGCAGACCGGAAGCGCAGACCGACGGGAAGTGCCTTCTCGCAGGGCCCAGGCGGGAACTCCCGTTGGCCGCAGCGCCCCTGTGGCCTGTGATGCCGCAGCCGTCTTCCCACCTTCACAAGCACGACTGGCGCCGCCCCTCGCACCCGAGCCGCGCCGCCACCTGCCGCGACAGCCCTCGGCCCTCAGTGGGGAGGGGAGGGCAGGCGAGGCGGGGCTGGGAGGCCGCAGGGCGCCCGGGCAGGGCCGCGCCCACTCTCCTGGGGTGACCCCAAGAGGGCACGAGTGGAGGACGGGTGGCCCAGGATGCGCAACGCTGCCAGGCAGCGGGATGAGGACTGCACAGTGCCCACGGCCGTTCAGAACTGAGTTCAAACCTGCGGCCAGGGCGGAGCAGACAGCAGAGCTGCGTGCAGGAGTGGCCCAGGGCGTGAGGGACCCAAAGAGATTGGAGTCCAGGAAGTCTCTAATTCCAGAGGAAATAGGAAATCCTAAAGCAAGTAAACTGAGGCAGAATCCCATTCATACAGTCTTGGTCAATGGAGCAAGGGCGGGGGGACTCCCACATCCCTGAGGCTACCAGAGTTTGCAGCACCAAACACCAGCTGTATAGAAATGAGACTGTTTTAGATACCACCAAAAATGGACCTAAGGCTTTGGATATTCGTGCCATCCTGATCCAAATTAACTCGGGAGGGGTGAGTGAAGGAAAGTAATGTTCATCAAATATTAACCATATGCCAGATAATATGGTAAGTGTCGTACAGATGAAATCTCTTTTAATACTTTTAAACCTGTTAGGCCAGTATCATGGACTCCAGTCTGCTGCTAAGAACTCTCGGGTTCAGAGAGGTTTAGTAATTTTCCCAAGGCAGCAGAGCTAGAAAATGACAGTGCAGAGTTTCAGGTCTGGAATGGAAGGGACTGAGCCTGTGGGCAAAAGATGTAAGAAACTCAAGTAGAGGAAACGGAGGCAAGAAGGGTCTGCTCTTCTTAGACTGTTGTGTAAGTCCCAGCTTCACCAGATTCCCTTTCTCCTGCTCCTCACAAAACAATAATCAGATCCCAATAGGGCATAACTAAGGGGGAGGGGGGGTAAATCACACCTAATGGGTACAATGCACACTATGTGGATGACAAACATAACTTTGATTCAAACTGTACAAAAGCAATTCGTATACTGAAAACATTTGTGATATCCTGAAATTTAAAAAAAATTTTTAAAAGCATAAGTAAATAGTTCTTAGGGGAAAAGACAAAGGCCCAAATGGACCTTCACATTCAGATCATTAAAATGGCACTTATAGGCCTCAAATAGAGTTCATTATCACACGTACAAACCTATACAGAAAAGATACTCCCTTCCACTGAAGAAGCTGGTCAGATTTTATTGGTATCAACTAGATGCCTTAAAATTGCCATGTTATAAAGTGGGTTCATTTAATGCCGCACTGCACTACCAAGTCCCAGTCACTAATTCAAAGCACTCAGCACCTGACACCTGTGATGGTTAATTCCATGTGTCAGTTGACTGGGCTGAGCAACACCAAGACGGCTGGCACAGCACTGCTTCTGGGTGTGTCTGGGAGGGTGTTTCTGGAAGAGATTAACTCCAGAAATTAGCAGACTGAGTGAAGAAGATCTGCCCCCACCACTGTGGGCAGGCTTCACCCAATCCACTGAAGGCCTGAATAGAACAAAAAGGCGGGGGAAGGGTGAATTGTCTCTCTCTTCTTGAGCCAGGACATCCATCTTCTGTCCTTAGTCAGTGGAGCTCCTGGTTCTCAGGCCTGGCACACGGATGGAATTACACGGCCAGCTTTCCTGGTGCTCCAGTTCACAGGAGCAGATGGTGGGACTTCTCCACCAATCATGTCTGCACATTCCCGTAATAAGTTGTGTGTGTGTGTGTGTGTGTGTGTGTGTGTGTGTACACACATACATACATGTGTATATATATTATTATATCCTGTTGGTTCTGTTTCTTTGGAGAATTCTATATGACATCCTATGTAATATGTTGTTTAATGTTGTACAGTGTCGGGATCACTAGGAGTTCAAAAATCATTAAAGAAAAAACACATAAAGTGAGAATGTTCTGCAACTATTGAGCAAGTTATCAATGTCTATATATTTTTTGATCCATGGTTCATTAAGGAGAAAAAAAGCTCAATTGACATAATATCAGAGTAAAATCCTATAAAGAATAAATAATTATTTTAAAGACTCAATAAAATGATGCAATTATTTTTTCCAGAGTTCCCAGTTCATCCAAGATTTTCTCTGACTTCCAACAGTTCAACCTGATTTTCTGGGTTCCCGTACACATAAGGGCCTCATGCAATCTGCCAGTACCCATGTTGGGAATTTGGGGAAGAAAACAGACTGGAAAAGCAGGGGTGAGTCAGCAGTCAGAGCCCTCCCCAGCCACCACCCCACCTAGGGGCTCATCCTTGATGTCTGCTTACTATAACAATGAGCTCCTCCTTGTTCATTTTCCATCAAAGCTTTAACATTGCTCTCCACCCAGGGGTTGAAGCCACAAACCTGTTTGTCCTCCCTAGTGTCTCCTTACCACCTAAATTCCTTCAGTTTGTGCTCTGTGGTTCCCAAACCTACTGACTTCCCTCCTTCTCCAAGGTGATCCTGGCCACCTTCATTTCCTATCTGGGCCCCTGCCACAGCCCCTAACGGATCCCTTTGCCTCTATTCCTACATCTTCCAGTCCATTCTCTCTGGTAGCCAGCATTATCTTTCCAAAGTGCAAACCTGATGGTGACTTGGGTCTTTCCAAAGTTCCACAGCCTTCTGAGTTCATGTGTTTCTTTCATAGCCAAATAAAACAGCTAGATCAGAATGACAGGAAGCACCTCATCTTTTTCTTGGGAGGCTCACATTTCCCGGGGTCCATCAAGGGGGATCACTTCCTTCTCTGGCACAATTCTTCAGATCTTCCCTTCATTCCTCAAGGGCAGAGTGAAGTTAGAGCACCTCCCATAGCAACTTAAATTGGGTGTCAGGCTGTCATGAATTGAATTGTATGTCCCCAAAGATAAGTTGAAGAGCTAACCCCTAGTACCTGTGAATGTGACCTTATTTGGATATAGGATCTTTGCAGATGTAATCAACTTAAGATGGGATCATTGGGTGTCCAGTGTGACCAGTGTCCTTACAAGAAGAGGGGAATTTGTACACAGACACACACAGGGAGGAGAGCACCATGTGAAGACACAGACACAGAGGGGGAGCAGCGTGAAGACAGAGGCAGAGATGGGAGTTTTGCTGCCACAAGCCAAGGAGCACCTGGGCTACCAGAAACTGGAAGAGGTAAGGAAAGACCCTTCCCAGAAGTGTTGAGGGACCATGTCTCTGCCAACACCTTGATTTCAGATATCTAGTCTCCAGAATTGTGAGACAATAAATTTCTGTTGTTTTGAGACACTCATTTTGTAGTACATTGTCATGGCAACCACAGGAAACTAATATACAGGCCTAAACACCCCTCACTCCATCACAAACAATCTGCCCATCTCCCCTGTGAGACCTGGCCTCTCTCCACATCCCCAGAGAACATTCTCAGAACCAAGTTTCTCTCCATGCCTTTTTCCCCTAGGTTTCTGTCTCCCAAAATGCCTGTCTTCAGAGTCCATCTCAAGAAGGTCAAAATCCCTTAATTTATTTTTTTTTCTGCTGAAGAAAGCCATAGTTCACATTATTTTCCATTGCATTTTTAATCTCTCTTTGTGTCACCCTCTCTTACTCAGACTGTGCCGAAAGCCTTCTCTTTTCAAAACCCAATGTTCTTATTGTTTCTTAACCATAAGAAAATTCTCTTAGAAGTATTCTGCCCTCATTAAAAGCTACCTTTTAAAATATCACTTTTTTTGTCCTTGTAAAACTATCTTGTCACTTATCTGTTTAAAACTTTTATCCTCTTGCCCTCAGGATATAATCTAAACCCCTTATTCTTTCATTCAGCAGATAGTTAAGCACCTCTTAGGTGCCACTGAAAATACTTTGCTAATGAATAAGTAACCATGGTCTTCTGTCATGGAGATGGCAGATTAGTGCTAGAGAAAGATACTAAGTAAACACACAAATACATACATCGTTAGGCCACTATAGATTCTGCCAAGTGCTATGAAGTAAGGGGATTGGATTCCCTGAGCTAAAATAAAAGTAGAAGTTAATTTAGGTTGGGGATTTTTCCAATTATTTATTATTTGAATGTCAAACCACCCCATACTTAGTTGGCTTAAAAGAAAAATCAGTTATGATCACTCTCAATTTTGGTGGCTGCCTCGGCTTAGCTGGGCGGTTCTTCTGTGTTACATGATACAGATAGCAGCCGCAATAACCTGGAGGCGCAACTAGACTAATATGGGGGCAGTTGGTGCTGGGTGTCTGCTGGGAGCTCAGCTGAGACTGTTAACCAAAATGCCTACATGTGGTCTTTCCATGTGGTTTGAGCTTCTCATAGTATAGGAACTAGGTTCCATAAGGGAGTATCCCAAAAGTGAGCATTCCAACATAGAGGAAGTAGAAGTGGCCAGGCCAATTCAGGGCTTGTCCAGGAATGGGCACAGTCATGTTTCTCTTGTATTCAGTTGGCTAAAGCCATCACAAGTCCAGCAACTGGGTCAGTGTGGAAGAGGGTTACCCAAGGTCGTGCGTGCCATGAGGTGTGGTTCATTAGGGTAGCAGTCTCCCATAAGGGCTTGGGGAAGTTCTCACTGAGGAAGTCATGAGCAAGGAAAGGGGAGGTGTTGAGATCTGAAAGAAGAGTATGAGTTGGCCAGGCAAGGAGTTGACAGACATGGATCCACCAGGAGCTGAGAGAAGACTGTATGGCTGGGACATGGGGACCCAGGGGAAGTGGGTATAAAATGAGGCTCAGTAGAGACTTCCAAGGCAAATGAAGGAGTTGAGATATACCTAAAACATAATGGGAGGCTATTTAAGGGCTTTTAGCAGAGGGAGTGCACGTGAGTCTTTAAAAGATCCCTCCAGCTGGTGTGAGAAGACTAGGATGGAGGGAGCAGGGAACATCACAGGTGGCCGGGGGCAGGCTCCGTGGTAGCCCAGCACACGGGCCAGCATCTTGTACCAGGTGATAGTGTGACAGGAGACAGAGGGACGTGAATGGATTTGGAAGATCTCCTGGAAGTTGTCTTGGCAGGACTTAGTGTGAGGAAAGTGGGATAAGGAGATGTCAAGAATGACTCCAAGTTTTCTAGATAGAGCACTCCCGAGCAGGAGAGATTTGTGCAGAAAATTTAGGAAAGAGAACCAAGTTCAGTTTGGGAGATGTTTGTGTTTGAGATGCTTATGGAGACATCCAAATGGAGAAGTCAAGTAGGCAACTGGAGAGAGGCTTTGGGAGCTCAAAAGCAGCTGCGTGGCTCTGAATTTGTCTGTGATACAATCTTCTGTTTACTCCTGAGCCATCCTCATGCCTCACACTGTACACTCCAGCCATATCCCCATTGAATGACCTGCAGTCCCCCACAGACCTTATTTGTTCACGTCTAGATCTTTGCACATGATGCTCTCTCTCTGCCTCCCTGTTGTCCCATCACCTGGCTACATCCTACCAGATTTGTAGGTTTGACAGTCCCACCACTTACATGGTATGGCCATTGTCACATTGCCTTCAAGTTGCACCTTCCCCCTGCCCTTCAACTCCCCCATGGGATGCAAATTCCTTGAAGCAGGAAGCATGTCTCATTTAGGGTTGTATCCTGAGCAGCAGCAGTAGGCATTGGATAAATAATAGCGAATGAATGTACCAACCTCTGCCTCTAGCCTCTCTTGCTCCAAATCATAGGGAATATTATATTTATAACACACTTCTCTAAATAGCCCTCTTATCCAGTGCCTCCTTTCCCCAGAAGCTGCGGAGGCTTCCTGTTGGTCACTTCTGCAAAGGAGGATTGATGTCCTCTCTGCTGGTGTTGAATTTATGGAAAGAGAAAGCATGCAAGGCCTGCATATTTTCAAGTCATGATTTCTTAACAAGGAATTATAAACAGTATAAAATACATGACAAGGGGGCATGAGAGCAGGCAGCACTGGGGGCTAGAAAGGAAGAGACAGAGGAGCCTCTGATACCTTCTCACAGGTATAAAGGCAGGTCCAAGAGGAGGAATTTCAATTCCTTATATTTGCCTATCTCAGGAGACACTATACATTAAGGTCCTTAAGCCACTTTTAGTTCACAAAGAAAGAGACTTGGATAGGAGAAAAACACCCCAACCTTTCAAATGGGGAATGCTGGCTCTAAGCCCACAGACATGTTACTATAGCGGACTTTATGCAATAATAGCACTATTTTATCACCTTTTGCACATAATGAGAAAGAAAAAATAAAACTAGAAGCTAATGATAAGAACTGTAGGTTTAGAAGAGCATATTACAATCGAGAAGAAGTTGGCCAGGTGGCCAGGCTAAATGCTTCACCTTTGGCCGGTCAGTGACGTTAGGCAGTCTGCTATGTGTTTGTTCAGTTGTGAAGGATAAGAAGAAATAATTATCAAGCGTATACAAAATGATGGGAATATTTTGTTGAAGATTGAATCTAGAAGGGAAAGTGAAATTAGGGACTTAAGGGATTTTAGCTCTCTTTAAAAAATCCCTTATGATATGTAAGTCTATCCTTCCACTTTCAGGCAGTTCCCGGAAGACATTACAGATGACAGCTTGGGGACTGCCTGATGAAAGAGGACCCAGCCGAGGGAGGCGAGCCAGGCAGCCTTGGCACTACTGGAAATGCTGCAAGCACAACTGTGGGAGGGTTTTCCTTAAAGGAGATGCAGAGTTATAAGGAGCAGTGGCTTAATAAGTGACTTCATTGGTGAAAAGCAGGGTACAGAGGAAAACATCCTTGATCAAGAGCCCAAGCTATTTGGTTATAAAATGATAGGAAGTCTATGCTCTGCCTTGGTGGTTCACAAAATTGAGCATGAATCAAAATCACCTGGAGTACTTATTAAACCCTGATTTCTGATTCTGCAGGTCTGAGGAGGGGCCAGGAATTTGCATGTGTACCACATGCCCAGGTGACCACCGAGGTGGTCCAAGAATCACACTTTGAGAACACTTGCAGACCAGTGGCTCTTAACTTTGTCCACACATCAGAATAGCTTGGGGAACTTTTCAAATACACCAATGTTGAGGCGTCACCCCCCCCCCAGATACTAAATATAACTGGTCCCAGGTGTGTTCCAGCTTTGGGATTTTTTAAGGCCTCTCCAGGTCATTCAAATATTTGCCCAAGCTTGACAACTACTGCTCTGAAACTGTGCCATCAGGTTAATAAGCAGAATCTAGGTCCATTTTACAACCTTTCTATAGAAAAAGCATAAAATTGGTGGGATGGGTGCAAAGTCAAGTCAACACTCCGATTTCACAAACCTATTTCTAGGTGTGAAGGAACCGGTCTTCATAGAATGCTGGCTTTTGAAAACCAGATCTTAACAAAGACTTGCTTCCTGACCAAATAACTCACACCCTCTCCATTTAAGTCAGGGTTTTCTTTTCACTGTCTTCTTAAATGCTAGGCTAATTTTAAACTCTGCGTCTATGTCTCTACCCAAGGCATTTTCTTAGTGTGACTCACAATGTTTCCCAAAGTGTGAGAAAATCAAGAAGGCCACCTAAAACTTTGGGGGCAGGTAGGGGGCAAATTTTAGGCACGTGTGGACTCGACGCTAAATAGCATTGAGCAGGTCACACCTTCAAGTCTCTTTCATTCTTTACAAGGCCCAGTGCAAATCTCATGGAAGTGTCTTGGAAAGCAGAACCTTTACCAGGACCAGTGAGCAAGCCTACGGTTAAGACTAACGTGGTTGTGCTATCTAGCTAGAAATTCACAGCATTGCTTTGCTCTCATTGTGTGTGTGTTCTTTGTTTTCTGTTTGTTTTTGTGATGGCCTCTTTATGGCAAGAGATCATGGCTTTCACTTAAGATTGTAATATGTTTCCTTTTAAAGTTAAGTAAAATAAGAGAGTGAATCAAATATTTAAAGTAGGAAATACTAACCTTACAGATGGTATGCTAGATCAAAAGAAAACAGCAGGCAGTTTGAGACAGACTAAAGATATAGAAATACTGCCTTGTCTAAGCGCTTTCTGCCTGTCTTCTAGATAAGGATCTCCACACAACACTCTGCCAATGTGAGAAGGGAAGGCTACTATTATCCGAATCCACCCAGCCATAGGTGCTCTGCTCACATCGCACCTGTCATGTGACATGTGGCTGCCCGCATGCACCCATCCTAGCCTGAACATGTGGCACTGACAAGCTGCATCAGGAAGTGGCTGCAGAATTCTTGGAATCCTGTGTTAGGGAGAGCACTTCCTACGGGGGAGAGGGGAGCCCCTCCAGAGCACAGGGGCACCTCTCACCATCTTGCCTTCAGAGACATTTACAAAAACTCACACCAATACTTGTGGATTAGTTGGATTTTGGATTGGACCCTTTAAAATCTGAAAGATCAACCTGCCATCAGAATGACTCTGTGTGTGTGTGCACAAGGGGTTAGTTATTGAATAAAGTATTGCTATATTGTCCATCTGTGATATTTAAGAAGACATAAAAGTACCCACAAGTTGGTAAAAATATATTTTATTTGTTCATACAAAGCAATAGTATGAATTATCAGAATTTCATTTTCCTAGAAACATCTTTCTCTGTGTAAAATTAATTTGTGTTATACATAGGACAAAATACTTGATTTAATTTTTTTGTACATATTGGCTATTCTAACATCCAGGCTATAGAAGACATACTGCTAGAATTTGCACAGTATTTTGGATTACTGGGCTGAATGAGACTCAGTCATAAATTAATGTTATAAAAATGAAAAAAAATCTAACCACACCTTTAAGTTTTATTGACCATCCTTCTTGATAAACCAAATAGAAAAATGACATTAACTTCTGCATCAGCATCTTAGATATATACTGTTTCTAGTTTATTGGAACCTTCCATTTTCCTTTCTTACGAAAATATCCTGGCAGGATCTGAAACTGTGTTTCTCCAAAGGTCTGTAATGTATCTGTCACTCAAAATAACTCCCAAAGAGAATCCCAATTTCTCCTCCTCCATCATCCAATGAAGTATTTATTATGAAATCACTGTACCTAAAATACCTTTCCAGGTACCTCCTACTAGGTTAACAGACTACTGTACAAACACTGCAAAGAAAGCATGGGATATATACGAACAATAAAAAATGTCCATTTTTTTGTTAATCTTTTTGTTTTCAAATGAGAAAAGAAACAAAACTTGAGAGAAATAAAGTACTGCAATGAATACCAGAGCTTCCTGCAAACTAGAAGAAATTCAAAACATGTGCTAAGACAAATTGCCAAAACTTAAAATGGTGTTTGTCTTCTAGCAGCTAAAAAGTTAAGCTTGGTGGCCTTGCAGATTGCTAGAACAGGAAGAAACCCAAGGCTTAATTGTCCACGTTGCCTAACTTCTCCAGGAGGAAGACACACAGGTTCTGTAATAACTATCACATGATGGGGTATAATCCGGGTCAGTCAGGAACTGTAAGCTACCAGACCCCTAGGAAGAGATGCACATGATGTTTGATTTATTTGTCTTACATAGAAAAACTTGCTCTGCTCCATCATTACTAATTACGGACATCTGTTTGGGATTCAAGAACTTGACCCAGAATAGAATTTTGACCCACTTCAGTGTTCATGACTAAATGACCCTCCTTCTATCTGAAAATTTCCTGTTTCAGTTTTATTTTAAGGCAGGGAATAAACAATCAAAAATTGTCCAGCTTGGAAAGAGGGCAGGGACTCGCAGGGGGAGGGAAAGCTCACACACGCTTTCCTAGGACTTTGCTGCACACCCTTCTCCGAACCCTTCTCAGCCCCACACCCTGAGCCACGTCAGATCGCGAGAGTGGCCAGAAAGCGGGCAGGGCAAGACTAGGTGCAGGACTTGGATATTGCCTTCTACTTCAAGCCATGTTATGCTGTAACTGAAAAGAGTCGTTCTTAGTTTGATTTCAGATAAATGGAAAAATGCACAACCAGTTAGCACCCTTATGCAGGTGTTTTCCACACCCAAGGTGCAAGAGGGCAGAACCGTGCTATGATGACGGTGCAGGTCCTAAGTGTAGGTCCTACATCACTTTCTAGAGACAGTGAAAAGCTATGAAATGGATTTAGCATCTGAGGAATGCACGCAACCCCAGAAGATCTTCCTCCAAAACAGAACCTACACAATGATAGTTTTACTGCCAAGCGTAAGCTAGCCAGATCTGGGCTAAAACTTGTGGGCAAATGCAAACAAGATTATCAAGATACCACCACTTAAAGACCAGTGGCATCTTTGATCGGTTTCTAAAGATGAATTATCTTTTCCTCTTTTCATACGTTTCCTTACACTATCGGGCAAGTTATCCCATATACTAATGCAAAAGTGTCCTTGGAAATATCACATCTAAACCATTTTGTCACTATATATATATATATATATATATATATATATATATATATATATATATATATATATCTTCCCACATATTCCTTGATGAAAGTATAACTCAAATAACAACTCTTTTGTGGAAGAAGCATTCTGGTTTAGAAAGTTGAGGATAAGCTAAATATATCATTATGTGATATTGCTATATGTTTAACCAACTGCCCCTAAATTGCTATGTGGTTATCCAACTGTCTAGTCACCATAAATAATCCCCAATACCTCTCTTACCTGAGAGATACATAGAGACCATTCTGTACAGCAGTGGCAATGCTGGTAACCCTTCTGTCAAGAACTGGCTAAAACAAGGGACAGCTGTACAAAAGTGTCAGGTTCAAGTATTTATAGGTAATGTGGGGCCAGCTTCACCAGCCTGTCTTTACAAGGGCCACTCTTGGTTCCTGCTGTTTAGCTTCTGACTACAGACCATGCTGTCACTCTGAGAAGTCATTCTGAGATAAACTAGGAATTCCAAGGAGACATCAAGCCAGGGTGCCAGGGATGCCCTTCCCATGCCAGGCTGGCTGTCATTCTTGGGTCTTTGTCTTTGCACCCAATTGAGGCTGTGGGCCTAGTGCCTAACACTGGCTGACTACCTAGCAGCACCCTGGTAGGTGCTGATGGGGAGGCACACATCTGACGCCTCTGGGTCTTGACACCCAGCATCCTTGGTTTGTGCTGGTGGCTCTGCTAGCCTATGGGATTCTTTGGTGTGTCGGAAGCGGAACCGTCTGCCTGGAGAACGGAGCACGGTGGGCTCTCATGCAGATTAGAAGAGATCATCTTTATTTCTAAAGCAGCACCCAAGCAACTCAAGCACGTGGCCTGGGAAAGAGAGGGGCTAACATTTGCATACCCTTCAAGCTGGTTAGTGAAGCAGGAAATGGGGGCAGAGAGGATGCTCAGCCATCCTTCAAAATCGAAAGCTAAAGCAAATGGACCCTGGCGTTCTGACCCTAAAAGGATGTGGGTGTTCCAGAAAAGGAAGTGAGTGAGTCCCCTACATGCTGGGTGGAGGCGGGGAAAACCCCAGCTCTGTGGCTGGGTCGCTAGAAACGACACCACATCTGCAAGGCAGCTGCTACGCGGGGTCTGGCCTTCAGCAGACAGCACTGTCCGGCGGCTCCCTGCTCCCAGGAGGCTGGCGCGGGAAGACGGCGCTGGAATCTGAGACCCAGCACAAGGAAGCGGCGACCCGACGACGCAGACGGAGACTGAAGGCTGAATACCCGTAACAACCCAAATCTCAAGTTGTGCTTTTCTTCTTTTTAAATATAATAGGGAAGGGAGGAAAAACAACAACAAAAAAATACAGAAGCACCATCAATTGTGAAGATAAAACAAAATACTAGAGTTCAACACTTTGGAATGTTAACCGATTATGACGCTAACTCTCTAAAGAGTGTGGCCAGGCAGCTTAGTGAATTAATTGCTTATGAATTAAAAATAAATTATTATAAAATAGATTTCTGTACATTTTACATACATATACTCTCTCAATATATAAGCCACGTGGTACGTCAGGCGGCCGGTCTCAGTCCCAGCCGAAGTCGAGCCCGGTCATCTGGTAGAACTTGCGGTTGAGCGGCCGGTAGAAGTCGCGCAGCCTGCGCAGCACGTCGCCGTCGATGTCGGGGTGCGGCCGGCCCTTGGTCTTGCCCAGGCAGTGCGGCCGGCCGCTGCCCTCGGCCTTCTTCAGGCAGGGGAAGCCCTTGGTCTTGTTGAAGTAGAAGTGCTTGTCCGTGATGATCCTCTTGAGGCCCAGGAAGTCCTGCACGCGGCGCAGCTCGCCGGCCGGGTCGCGCACGAGCCGCTCGCCGCTCACGAAGAGCATGCGGCCGAGCGGGAAGTGGCGCAGCCAGTGCTCCAGGTGCTTGGCGTACAGGCCGATGTGGATGGCGCTCCACGCCGTGTCCACCAGGCCGGCCGTCCTGTTCCGGAACGTCAGGCTCTCGAAGCTGGGGATGTCGGGCCGCTTGGACAGCGTCTGCGCGTAGTCGGACACGGCCCGCGTCACCGGGTCCCGCACCACCACGATGAGCTTGGTGTCCCTGGACATGGCCGCGATGCGCGCGGGCGCCTCCCGCGTCACGAAGTAGCTGGGCGTCTTCTCCATGGTGATCTGCCCCTCCAGGGTTCTGGGCATCAGGTCCCTGGAGGAGCAAACAGAGCACGGGGTCAGCAGGTCGTGCCCTTTGCCCCGCCTCCCAAGGCCGGCGCTTCCGACCCCGCCGCCTCCCACTGCCGCGCTGCAGACACGCGCGGGGCCGCGAGCAGCGCCCGGGGCCGCTCTGCAGACACGCGCGGGGCCGCGAGCAGCGCCCGGGGCCGCGAGCACGTGCGGGCCATAGCGTCCGCTGAGGGCGGCAGGGCAGACCCGCCCGCCTGGACGCGCAGGCAGCTTCGCGCAAGCTAGAAGGAGCGAGACGCGCGTTTCTCTAAGGTCCTCCTGTGGGTACCACTTGTCTTACTTTTCATAGCGTCCTGCTTTCAGACAGCCCCGAACGTCTGATGTGAACACACGAAAGCCTTTGGCTTCCTGTGGCTTTCCTAAAACGTAGCCCCTGGGGTCCCCAGAGATTTCGGTGTCCATGGGACCCACACTGGCCTGCCTTTACATGCCAAGCCCAGGCAGATGTGCCATGGTCATTGGGAGGAAAACATCTCCCCGGTCCAGCCAGGTTGTTCCAGTTTATCACGTGGCCTTCACTCCAAAAAGCCACAAAGCACGTAGCAGCCAAAAATTCCAGTGAAATCAGGTAAGTATAAACTAGGCCATGTGTACACACAGGCCATGAGGACATTTCCAAGACACAACTCTAGAAGCTTCCAAAAATACTTTAGATTCCATTAGGGAAAAAAAACTTGTACAGTATCAGTCACAGCAAACAAAAGTATATATACAATATTACTTTTCCAATCCTCGGCAGATAAAGGACATGATACTTGGACCAAAAGCAGCTTTGTGGCAGCAAATCACAATCACATTGATTCACAAATCAGTGACGTAAGGCCTTGGTTGTAAGAGATGAAGTCAAAAAGCACATGAATACAGCTGATATAAAACGAGTTGCGAATTTTATTTGCTATTACATAGATTCTGTCATACGGCTATGCAATTGTTGTTATAAAACATCTGGTGGAGAGTCCTGAACCTAGCCGTTAGGTGTCTGTCGACGCTGCTAGTCCACTCCGTAGAGCAATTTTGAGTGGCCCTGTAGGAAGGTGCTCTAGGAAAAAGAAACAGCATCAGCCCAGGCAAGCAAGGGGTGATGAGGGAGGCTTGGAGACAAAGCCCTTGGGTAGGGGAGACTGTCCACGTTGGGGAGAAGCAGGATGTAAAAACAGGGGCCCAAGCGAAAGAAAATGCCCGTGGACTTAATGTTCTGCAACACCTCAGCAGATGGGAAATGGAAGGTGGAGAGGAAGAAAGGTGTTGGGTGAGATGTCCTCCCGGGGCGAGAGACTTTCAGATGGCAGCAGAGACTGTATTGGTGTCATCCTCTGCTAAACACCTAGCTCCTACCATGGTACTTAAAATAGCAGGCATCGGATAAATACATGAATAGAGAAGTAGTCTTGCTGATTGGTAAATCCTGAATGAAAATACTAAGGGTTAGAAGTATGGGCTCTGGCTGGGTGCGGTGGCTCATGCCTATAATCCTAGTACTCTGAGAGGCCGAGGAAGGAGGATCACTTGAAGTCAGGAGTTTAAGACCAGCTTGAGCAAGCTCGAGACCCCGTCTCTACAAAAAAAAAAAATAGAACAATTAGCCAAGCATAGTGGCTCACAACTATAGTCCCAGCTACTTGGGAGGCTGAGGCAGGAGGATCGCTTGAGCCTAGGAGTTTGGGGTTGCTGTGAGCTATGATAATGCCACTGCACTCTAGCCTACATAACAGTGCAAGACCCTATTTCAAAAAAAAATAATAAAAATAAAAAGGAAAAGCGTATGGGCTCTGGTGTAAATGGGCCTAGGTTCAGGTCCCTCTTTACATCCTATCAGCGGTGTGACCAGGAGGCAAGTTACTTAATCTCTTTGAACCTCATTATCCTGATATGTGAAGTTGATGTGAAGTTGAAATAATTCCACCTACCTTGTAGAGTTGTTATTGAAAGTTAAATGAAGTTGGATCTGGCAATCCCTCTACTAGGTATATAGCCAAAGGAATGGAAACCAGTATGTCAAAGAGACATCTGCCTCCCATGCTCATCTCAGCATTATTCACAATAGCCAAGAGACAGAAGCAACCTAAGTGTCTATTAATGGATGAACAGATTTTTTTTTAAATGTGGTATATATACACAATGGGTGTTTTCAAAGAGCCTTTAAAGAGAAGGAAATCAGCCATTTGCAACATGGATGAAACTGGAGGACATTATGTTAAGTGAAATAAGCCAGGCACAGAAAGACAAATACTCCCATGATGGCACCCATATGTGGCATCTAAAAAACAGGATCTCATGGAAACAGAGTAAAAGAAAGTTATCAGACACTGGAGCTGGGGGGCGGGGGCGATGGATGACAAAAGATGTTGACCAAAGGGTACAAAGTTTCAAGGAGACTAGAGAAGTAAGTTTTAGTGATCTGTTTCACAGCTTGGTGACCACAGTTGGTAACAATGCATTGTCTGTTTCAAAATTATTACAAGAAAAGATTTTTAACATTCTTACCACACAATAAAGAGTAAGTTGGTGAGGCGATGGATATATTAACTTGCTTGATTGAATCTTTTTGTAATATATATATATAGATCGAAACATCACACTGCACCCCATAAATATATGTAATTATTAGTCAATTAAGAATAATTTTTTTTAAAAAGAAAAAAATTAACTGTGGTTTGTAAAGCTGACTCAGTTTAGTTTAATACTTAAGGACTGCCTGGGTTCCAATTCTGGCTTTCCCACTTAGAAGCTGTGTCACCTTGAATAACTTATTTAACTTTCCTGGGCTTCTGTTCCTCACGTGTAAAAATGGAGCTAACAATATCTACCTCATGGGAGCTTAATGTGGATTAAAGGAATTAATAATCATAATATGCTTAGAACATGCTGATGTATAATACATACTTGACAAATATCAGCTACTACTGTTATTATTATTATTAAATTGCTCAATACACACACGGAGGGGCCAAAATGAAGTATGTGTGTGTATGCGCCAATGTGTATACATCAAAAGGAAATGTATGAACTAACTGGATACTAAATTTTGATCACACATCTATAATCATCCATTAACTATGGGATAGAGATTTGTAATTATTCCCACCCTAGGCATAGGAATAAAAAACAAAAGACAATTTCCACATCATTTTTGACAAAGTGTTTACCTTTCGGTGGGACATTCTAAGCTTCAAGACATCCTAATCTGCTGAGACCACAACTCCTCTGTTGAGTACATTCACAGCTCATTTATAGAAACGATACAAACTATGCATCGCTGAGCTGGAACTGGCAGTTCCCTGGAGGGGGTGAGCTCCTTCTCCCAGGACACCGCATACGGGGGCCAGGGGAGCGCATCTTTCCCACAGGGAAGCCTGCACCAGCAGCACGGGAGTCATCCCGGCTTACCCTAAAGCTGGATTGACCCACTTTGCCCATTAGCCACTTAGATTAATGTAGCAGTGTCATCAGGCTAATGTGATCGAGGATTAAAGAGAGTCCTGGCTCTCAACTTATTTTGCATTTGACTAAAAAGCAGGTCAAGTCAGATAAAGCTCGAGTATCTTTCCTTGTGCTGAACTGTCTGCAGCTGGATGGCCTGCAAGAGGTTAATATTCGCAAGCAAAGTGTTATCGCCACAGTTGGAGGAAAGCCAACCCCCCAAGTCTTTCAGGGCCCTCGCCGAGGGCTGGGTTTAAGGTCTGTACTCAGAGACAGCCTTGTCCAGCATGGCTTTGACGTCAGGCCACCAGGTGGGACTCAGCACCAACATGTACTGAGCTGTGTGACCCTGGACACATCCCTTAACCTGTCCAATGAGAAAATGATGATGTTCCCCTCCTAGGGTTTTTGAAAGGACTGCAAAGCTAACTTCGGTACCCAGCCTGGTACCTAGTTGGTGCTAGAAAGATGTTATCAATTGGCTTCTGTTGACAGGATCTTGGCAAAGATGTAAGGAAGCAAGGTTTGTGTACAGGGCACTTGTCACTCACTGAGTTCTACACTGGGGGGAGGGGGAGGGCACAGCTCCTGGGAGGCACCATGCAGGAATGCGGATCCCTTCTGCTCTGAGCCTGCCGGGGGTCCAAGAGCACCCCCACAACCCCCCTGCCTGCCTTTCCTCACTGGCCTTAAAGAAGAGCCTGTTGGTAGCTGAACAAAATGGCTAAACTGGCAATTGAGAATGAGAAGCCACATAACAGAACTACTCAAAGGAAGGGGAGATCGGCCATAAATAAAGACTCCCTGAGTCATGGGCAGACTTGCTGGGCTTGACTGCCTGCTGGTCCCCCAAACCATGTGGGGTACCAGCTCTGGGGGACCCCTCTCTCCCCAGGACAGTCTGGTGTTTGTCCATGTGTCGGCAGGACTCAAGGAACCCCAGAACTTATTTTGATTACTGTCAAAAGAGTGGAGCCAGGGGAACTACTGCTGCGACAAGACTTCCCAGCCCTCTCCAGCAGAGGCCAGGGGCCCTGGCCCCGGCGCTGGGCATGCAGACGAGGTGTGGCTGGGAGTGAGATGCACATCTAGGTTCTCCATCGGCAAATGCCTCCTGAGCCCTGTGCACAGGCTCCCAGGCACGACTGCAGTGGGCACTGGGCTCAGACGGGGCCTGGCCTCTCCCCTGCACACCCTGTGGATCCATCTGGTAAAGAAAAAGTTACTCGGTGACACTTGTTAAATCACAGCAGGGAAGCTTTTATCCAGGACCATCGTGACAGGCGTGGGGACCCTGCAACAGGGTCTTGCAGTGGGGGGAGCTTGGGCTCAACTCCAGTCACAGCGCGGGCAAGTGGGAATTTAGAGCCGAGGGGGTGGGGTAGGGGGGTGTCAGTGGGTGGAAAATCCCAAGAGGAGACATCAGGGTGAGGGGGACTCTGGCCAAACCGACCTAACAGGATCCTCGCTGAATTCAGGCCACCAGACACCGCGTGGGGGTGGGGGAGGCTGAGGAGCCGGAGCAGATATCCAGGTGACCGG